AAACATGCGAGCAAAGTTTTAAAAAGGTGCAATCTTTATAAATAAACCATAGATTTGAAGTGTAAAAAACGACATTCTTGTCTAATATATATATATATATATATATATATATATATAAAGATTGCACCAACATTTACATTACGTTTACATTTATTTCCATCAAGGGTTGTAACAATTTTTGGTCAAGATCACACAACTCTGTAAAGTCTAGTCCAGCTCATCCTAAAGACTTTCAATGCGGTTGAGGTGGCCAAGTCAGGTGTGAAAATGATTCCCCGTGTTCCCTGAACCACTCTTTCACGATTTGAGCCAGTGAATTTTGGAACTGTCATCCTGGAATATGCCCAGGGATACAGTTTCCGACATGGTTGTTTAAGAAATGAAAAGCTACACACTGCATCAGTTAGGTTAAAAAAATATATTTTTTATTATTTGCATTATGTTATGCTTTACCATGCTTTATATTCTATAGGAGATGTGAAATTATATTCCCCCGTCTGCTGCATTTCACTTGACAGCTCAGGGATGCATTTCCCAAAAGCACTGTTAGCTAACTATAATCACAATGTCAGGGATTCATCACAGTCACTGCAGTCACCAGCCAGGATAATAGCGTCTAGTTTCTTCTTCGTGGGCAAGAAGGACAGGGGCTTGCGGCCTTGTATCGACTATCGGACTCTGAACTCCCATACGGTGAAACTGCCCTATCCACTTCCCCTGGTCCCGGCCGCCCTCGAGGAACTCCGTGGGGCCTGCATCTTCTCCAAGCTGGACCTGCGAAGCGCTTACAACCTCGTTCGAATCCGGGAGGGCGACGAGTGGAAGACGGCATTCATTACACCATCTGGCCACTATGAGTACCTTGTCATGCCGTATGGGCTAGCCAACGCCCCGTCGGTCTTCCAGGGGTTCATGAACGAGGTGTTCCGGGAGTTCCTCCACCGCTCTGTGATAGTCTATATTGACGATATACTCATTTACTCCCGGAACGTGGCCGAACATCGCCAACACGTTCAGCAGGTCCTACAGAAGTTACGTCAACACCATCTCTTCTTAAAGCTGGAGAAATGCGAATTCCATCGCCCCACGGTGCATTTCCTGGGTTACATCGTCGGCCAGGAAGGAATTCAGATGGACCAGGGGAAGGTTGATGCAGTCAAGGAGTGGCCTCTTCCCCAGACCATAAAGGAGCTTCAGCGATTTCTAGGATTTGCTAACTTCTATCGTCTATTCATCAAGGATTTCAGTTCCCACACTGCTCCTTTGACTTCCATGCTCCGAGGAAAACCCAAGTCCCTGTCCTGGACCACCAGCGCCCACGAAGCTCTCACAAAGCTCCGAAGAGCCTTCAGCACGGTCCCCATCCTCCATCATCCTGACCCGGACATGCCGTTCGTAGTGGAAGCGGATGCATCCACCACCGGCGTTGGGGCCGTGCTGTCCCAACATTATGGTGAGCCTCCTCGCCTCCAGCCTTGCGCATACTATTCTAAGAAACTGACCCCAGCGGAGCAGAATTACGACATCGGCAACCGGGAGTTGTTGGCCATCAAACTCGCCCTGGAGGAGTGGCGGCACTGGCCTACAGGGAGCAAACCATCCGTTCACAGTCATTACCGACCACAAAAATCTCCAATACCTCAGAGAAGCCAAGAGACTTAACCCACGCCAAGCCCGCTGGGCATTGTTCTTCACCAGGTTTCAGTTCACAGAGCATTGCAATAGTCCAGCCTGGATAGAACAAGAGCTTGAACAAGGAGTTGTGTTGCATGTTCTGAAAGAAAGGACCTGATCTTCCTAATGTTGTATAAAGCAAATCTGCAGGACCGGGCAGTTTTAGCAATGTGGTCTGAGAAATTCAGCTTATCATCAATCACAACTCCAAGGTTTCTAGCTGTTTTTGAAGGAGTTATGTTTGATGAGCCTAACTGGATGGTGAAATTCTGATAAAAACTTACCCGTTGTGTCTGGCCTTGCTTTATGACACACAAGTTCCATTGAACTCTATTGGTAATGACAGAACTTGTGACCATAGCTGCTTTTGGGAAAGACACCCCAGGATAGTTAGTAAAGACTAGTAAAAACTTGTGACAAAAAATGGACTAAATAAGTAGCACACTTCACTTTTAAACTGAGGAATCTATATTAACATTAAAGGGGTCATATGATGCTATTTTAAAGATCATTATTTTGTGTATTTGGTGTAACAGAATATGTTGACATGCTTTAATGTTCAAAAAACACATTATTTTTCAAATACAGTACATTATTGTAGTTCCTCTATGCCCCGCCTCTCTCAAACGTGTCGTTTTCTAGAATAAGCACCAGATTGTCATAGCAAAGTCGGAACTGACCCATTTTTTTTTTAGAAATGACCTTTGCACAGCCAGCCTTGTAGGCTACTCTTTGTAGGCTAGTCGTCCATAAAATGAGTTGCACAAATTCAAACATCTGGGTTGTGCTGTTCTGTTGTAAATAAATCTTAACCAGATCTGAATCAGCCTTCTCTTTTAGATAGAATAAATCCTTTTGTGGGAGACTTTGAGCTTTGTAACTCTGCAGATCTTATACATGCACAAATAGCTACATAACACACTAAAGAAAAGGAAAAATAGAAATCGCATCTTTTGACCCCTTTAACATTTTGACATACACAGCAGCTATATTTCACTAAGTCAGACTGTCAAATGTGCTCATGGTAAAAATGAGAAGTTGACATTGCAGGAATGGAGATAAAAGTTCACTTCCTCCCTCTCCAGCATAGATGATGTTTCCTGGCAACCTCTGGCTACAGAGACTGAATTTACAAAAGCCAAAGTTGATGGTACCAGCAGGACATCTGCCGCTTTTATATCCTCTCCTATAGTCCTGTCTATGATCATCTCAATAAACTCAAGTTCAGTCAATTCCAGTATATGCCGAGGTCTACTGCAATATTTGAAGTTAATCAATCAATTCTTCAGTTACCACCCTCTTTATTTTTTCTTTCATGGCCATTCAGTTAACCGGAAACAGCTAGAGTGTACATGTACTGTACAGTATGTCAGTGTATGCACATGCTGTAAGGTTGCCTAGTAGCCTATGTGATGTATTTGTGAATGATTCATGAACAGATCCCTGATGGGAAAAAAAAACACTTGCAAACACCTATGGCAAAAAAAAAATCCTGCGTATGTCTTTAATATTTTCAAATGAATATGTAATCCACCTTTCTTGCAAGTTTATAGATTGTTTTTTAGTCAGAGTAGGTATTTGAACAGAGAATGCAATGAAATGTTCTCTAAACAAAAATAATAAACAGCTCAGAAGCAACTGTTAATGTAACACTGTAAATGTTATATAATCTATATATAGATATATACAAATGATTATGGATGATGATGATGATCATGATGATGATAATACTAACATCATTATAATTAGGGATGCACCGATACCGATACTGGTATCCTGTACTCGTACTCGTTAAAATGCCCCGATACCAAACGCCGATACCACACAGCATGTGATAAGCGCCATATTCAGACAAAGAAACACCGACAACAGAACAACAGACAGCAGAAAGGAGTTAAGGATGTCTACTACGAAGTATATGTATGCAATGAATATAATGTTAAACATTCAGTATTAACACCTGTATAGCTGATGTGCGCGAGCTAGCAGCCTGTGTGAAATGCGCTAGGCTGTACTACTGTCCTCTCCTTCTGCATCAGTACAAGCGTTGTTGCGCATGTTTTGCTTGCTTGAGTGTTTCTGCATTATATGAGTGGCTTCGGAATATAAATCGCAGCACGTTTCAGATGAAAAAACGCGACTTCTATTTCTGAAAATATCACAGTTAGGAGATGTATAATGAGGGGTTCCCTGCATTATTACAGCAAAGTGCGTGAATACAGTACTAACCCGCTGCAATGGAGCAGGTCTAATGCTATTAAATTAAAGATGATGTACCATAGAGCAAAACAATGAACAGTGAAAGTAACATAAACTTGTAAAATACATTTTAATGAGCATAATTAAGTGTGAAAATAACCGTAGGATATACAGTGAAACCAAAAATGATTCAGAGACCAGATATAATTTTTGATATTTTTTTACTAGTGGGTGCAGGACACTATAGTTCATTTATGTAAGTGAGGATATGTACACATGCAATACAAATATCGGTATCGGTACTCAGTATCGGCAAGTACCAAAAATAAAAGTATCGGTATCGGGCGAGTACTGGAAAAAGTGGTATCGGTGCATCCCTAATTATAATAATATATATTTGCAGGTTAAATTCTATTATAAAAATTCTAACATTCATTTGAAGCACAGCTGTGAAGCACACTTTAATTTAGAGCGAGAAATACAGGCTTATTGTTTCAGAGATATGTGACTGTGCTCACGGTTGATTGGCCCAATATCTGTTTGTGATTTGTGATTGAAAACATAACCTGCCCTAAAGCAGGTTAGCCATGAAGCAACTCTGTCTGCTATGGTGCACTATGGCTGTAGAATTTAGTAAAATCATATTCATCTTCATGGTAAAGAAAATACAGATGTATTGTATTGCTATGTTCAACTCGTCAGATACCCTCAGTCAATATGTGGACAAGTCAGGCTTCTACTCTTTTACCCCTGGAAAAACTAACTTATGATCTGCATCAAAGATCAGATGTTTTCTGGCGCACTTGGTCTTCTCTGTGGAACTTTCTTGAAGTTACTCAGTAACTAATAAATCCTCTCAATTCCTTGGTCTATAAAATATCCCTGTTATTTATTTACTCAGATATGCCCCGTTTTATTATTATTATTATTATTATTATTTATTTTATTCATATATTTGTTTACTGCATTTTATGTTTGAACATGTATATCTAAAGATAAAAGTAACCTTATATTTGGTTGTACGTGCTGTTATGAGATACCATTGCCTGTTGTGTTTTTGTAAAAAAAAAAGAAAAAAGAAAAGAAAAAAAGGGGAAAATACAGAATTACATTAGACTCACACTTACCTGGACAGATGGTTAAACCCACTTTGTACTACAGGCCACAAGAGATTTTGGGGCGGGACTACTGTTTGGCTGACCAGTGGCAGTTGGGGGAGTAATTGGGAAACCTGTTTAAAAACAATTTGAAATCATTATTTTTGCACTTTCATTTGGTCCCACCAAAATGCAGATTACACACTTCACCTTCAACTGCATTCAAGTTACCTTTTCAATACAAATACATAACTTTTTTATTTTTATTTTTGCATTATTTTTGGATTAGTTACTTGTAGCGGCGCATTCAATCAATAAGAAACATTATGAACATAACCATTAAATCCCACACCCATTAAAGAAGATTTTGGGGTTCTCATTGGTTTGTTGGCATGTGGGTGATTTCATGCACAAGAAAAGCTGTCCACAAATTGCTTGCCTAAGTGGAAAATTGCGTTGTTGCCAGATCTCGATTACCAAATAAAAAGAATGTATTTGATGCAAAACTAACTCCACTAAAGACACCTTGCCGAATGCCACTCTTGACCAAGAAGAACATGAAAGGCTGACTTGAACATGCTAAAACAAATTTGGGTCTATAAACTCTATAAACATACACTCAAGTGTGCCACATGCTGTTTACAGAAAGTAACTGAGTGACACTGGCAGAGTTCACAAACTCTTGGAAAGTGTTAGTAAATAAACAATACTGTAGTGCAGTGTTTCCCAACCTTTTTTAACCACAGCATAGTTTTGATGAGTAAAAAATCTCACGGCACACTACTAAGCACTGAAATATAGCAAAATTGCATTGCTTCAAATGGCATATTAAAACTGGATATTATATTAAAAGTAGTATGATAAAACAACAAATTTACATAACCGCATTCGGGCGGAAACCTTGTATGTCCAAAACCACTACCACTTTCAGGAAATGTAAAAACAAACAAACAAAAATGTGTTCCCCTTCAGGAACTCGAGCTGCATCGAAACGCTACGGGAACGCCTCCAGCGTGACCACGCTCTGAATCACATGTGTAATCAGTCCAATGGATGGGCGAGACGTCACGGGCGGGGTGACGGACGGACCAGGAAGCATAAAAGCACGTGCGGTGAAACTTGCGGTGCGGTGCGCTTGTTTTCTGTCATTCAGCAAGCGCTCTGTGTGTGTCAGTGGAGTCTGCACGTTTCTCGCGGCGCCGGCCCCGCTTTCGCTGAGGCGGAGCGGCGGCTGTGCTCGTGGGGTTCGCATATGGATCCGGAGGAGGGAATGTAGACGGGCGAGTCCCTATCTTCTTCCTTACCTACCAGATCCATCGCCCGCTCTCGGGGTTCGGAAGCCCACGCTGCGGTTCTTTCCCCCCGGTGAGAGGGCTCGACGCTCCGCCTGTCTTCCTTAGATCCAGCGCTCGCTCTCGAGGCTCGGAAGCCCGAGCTGCGGTTTCTTCCCCCTCTGAGTGAGAGTTCGCTGCTATTTTCTCCGAGGAGATTGATATTTTTTGTGTGACCAAGTGGCTCACGCGCTGCCGAGGCAACGTGTGTATTACATCATTTTCAGTTTTTGATGTGAATCTTACCACACCAGACCGTGTTTACTCATTTGGTTGTTTGGCTGCATTTAATTCTGAGGAATTAAATGAGGTATTTATCTGACTATGAGAAGTTAGATATATAATTTTCGATTTTTGAAATTAATCTTACTACACCAGACCGTGTCTACTCGTCTGGTTGTTTGATTGCATTTGATTCTGAGGAATAAAATGAAGTATTTGTCTGACTATGAGAAAAATAAAAGAGTTAGATATACAGGGGCTCTTGGGATAAAAATTTCTCGAGTAAGAGCACCTGTTTACCTCTCTTCCTCTGAGGAGGTTGAGGCGGTCAGCAGGGGCTGCTGGGCGGGAGCAGTCTCAACCTACCGTGTTCAAGCTCCTCATTCTGGGGGCGTCACTTCTCGTACTCCGCAGAGTATAGAGTCACAGTGGCGCTCCCAGGCCGAAGGCTTCTAGCGGAAGGCAGTTCTGCGGACCGCCCACGGAGGTCTCTAGAGCAGCTAGTATGGCCGTCCCCTGCTGGTTCGCCGCTTCAGGGCACCGAGCTAGCCGCTCTAAGTGCACCAGAGGCCAGTCTCGTGAGACTGGTTCCCTTAGTATGTCAGTCCTGCCCTGAGCAGGCTCTGGTTCTATCAGTCGAGTCTTCCTAGCAGGTGACGCGGGCTGTCAAGCAGTTCCAGACTGCTGGGTCTGATTGCAGCCGCGTCCAACGTGGTTACTTTTGGCCTGCTGTACATGAGACCCCTACAGTGGTGGCTTAGGACCAAGGGGTTCTCCCTGAGGGGAAACCTGCTTCGCATGCTCAAGGTCATGCGGCGGTGCTTACGTGCCTTAGACATGTGAAGGAAACCTTGGTTCTTATGTCAGGGCCTGGTGCTGGGAGCTCCTGGTCGTCGCATATGCTAGCGACAGATGCATCTTTCACCAGTTGGGAGCGGTCAGGAGTGGCCGCCATCTCACGTGGCGCATAAGTTGACTGGAGATGCTGGCCGTGTTTCTAGCTTTGAAACACTTCCTCCCAGGCCTAAGAGATCGCTATGTGTTGGTGCGCACCGACAACACAGCAGTGATCTTTTATATATGTGGGGGCAGACATCCTGTCGAGGCAGGGGCCGAGGTCCGGGGAATAGATGCCTCACCCCGAGGGGTGAAGCAGACTTGGAGAGTCTTTGGCCAGGCTCAGGAGGACTTGTCTGCGACTCAGATGATATCGCACGGTCCTCTCTGGTTCTCTCTCGGACTCATCCAGCTCCACTGGGGCTGGATGCCATGGGCTAACGCCCGTTTGGTACAGTTCTGGAGTTCCTGCAGGCCTGTTTAGCCGCAGGGTTGACCCACTCCACCCTAGAGGTCTTCGTGGCGGCCATTGCGGCCTACCACGCCCCTCTCGGTGGCCATTCAGTAGGAAGACACCCTCTTCTTACACGTTTCCTCCGTGGTGCGCTGAGGCTGAGGCCTCCGGCCAGCCGTAGCGTTTCGACGCAGCGTCTCGTTCCCTTCGGGGAACCATAGTTACATGCGTAACCTGGAGACATTTTCTTTATAATTAAACACCGCATCATCAGAGTTGGTATTGTGGGTTTTTATAAGATCAGACACTTGCATGTGCTATTACAATATTAACATTTCATGAAAATCAAGCTCAAATGGAGTTAGCTCAAGGTTTTTGACCAGTAATTGACGGCAATGTGTGTTTTGTCTGTCATTAGAACAGCCACATCTGAGTGCACATCTAGGTCTCAAGCAGAGATCTGTCTTCAGACTGTACGCGCCACTTAATTCTGAATGGAGGCAGAGGCGGAGTTATGAGGTTTTGCTGACAGTTTGAGGATTCAATGGTGTTACGAGGTTTAGTCACATTTAAGCGCATTTGAATGCTTTTCATTGGTTAAATATTTGTAAAACCCACAAACAGACATAAAGATGCAATAACCTAGAATACTCTCTAACACTTGATGGCTACTCTGTCAAGTCTTCATCGTCAGTTAGGAATTTGGGTGTGTTATTTAAAAGCAATCTTTCATTTGAAAGCCACATCTCTTGCATTTATAAAACCACATTTTCAGTCTTAAAAATACATCTAAATTATGACATATGCTCTCAATGACATGCAGAAAAGTTAATTCATACGTTCATGGCCTCAAGTCTACATTACTGTAAAACTTTACTAGGTGGTTGTACTGCAAACTTAATAAACTCCAGCTGGTCCATAATGCAGCAGCTAGAGTTCTCACAAGAACCAGGAAGTATGACCATATTAGCCCGGTTCTGTCAACACTGCACTGGCTCCCTATTGAACATTGCATACATTACTTACAAAGCTCTAAATGGTTTAGCTTCTCAAAACCTGAGCGAGCTCTTATCGCATTATAGTCTTTCACATGTATGGCAGTCTCAAAATTCTGGCCAGTTTAATACCTGGAATACAAAATCGAGCGGTAGAGGCTCTTCCAATTTAATACCTGGAATATCAAAATCGAGCGGTAAATGCTTTTCCAATTTAGCGCACAAACTCTGGAAAGTCTTCCTAGCAATGTTTGCAGGGCTTGCAAAATTGCTAGCCCGACGTCCCGGGACTATTGTGTCTTCCAGTTAGGCTACCAAAATGTATCACCGCCCTGTCCGACAGGCTATCTTATGGTTACCGCCAGGGGCGGTACTGGGTGGGGGTGGGGGGATGGGGTCTAGTGCTAATTATATAAATTCCTAATTTTAATTTCAAAAGGTTTTAAATTTGGGGATGGACAGAAAAGAATCGTTATGGCTGAATGTGACGATTAAACTTCAAATGGATTTCTTTTAATAAATATGAGTGCTGCACTTTTCAAAGTAAAAATGCGGCAAGAGTGTTTTTATTTGAATGTATCTCTGAAGGGAACCGACTGCCTTGAGAAAAGTTTCAATCAGCCCATCTGCAGTTTTTGTTCAGACCAATGCGAAAATCATCTACTAGCAAACATGCAGTTGTAAATGTGAACTGGTGGATTGACAAGAAGCTAATATGCCTTCAAAAAATCTTAACAATTGAGACAGTAAGATAATAACTAATAATAACTCAAGGCAGTAACAATTTAAACAATAGGCTATATTTTATTTGTGAAATTATGTTCAGCTATTCTTTTTAATAGTTAACTTTTAACATTTTTTTTTATTTTTCGGATCATCAGTCATCAAAGCTCGGTAAATAGTGGTCACAGACAGAGATTTATACCACCAAGCTAACTAAACTAAATTTCACCAAGCTGATTACTCACTAAATACGCCCAAAGATCATGTTTTCAGGCCATTTTAAGTCTTATGTTGACGTAACAAAGAGGTTATATCTAAGTGTGTGAGTTGTTTACTGACTTTTTTAAATTAGTCTCCCCATTAACGCCATTATGCTGTTCATTCAGACTGATTCCTGAATGCGGAACGCACACGAGCACAAGAGGTGGAATTTATCGCACAAACCAATCACAGCCGAACATAACCAGTCATATCCAATCATATCGCGATGAAGGCATTGCCTCCTCTCACATGATTTTTCCCCATTCATTCTCAATTACCCCCCACCAAACTCACCACACACTTTAGGGGGT